TGCCCCTGCTCCCCTCCCACCCCCAGCCTGGCTGGTGTCCCCATGCCAGAGCCCCCCTCCCACCACACAGTTCGGCCCCCCCAGCCCCAGTGAAGCTTGGCACTGCACAGAGGAGACATCTGCACGCGGGGCTGCGCTTCCCCAGGCTCTGGTTCCCCTGGCCCCAAAAGGGCTTTCCCCTGGCTCCATGTGTGTCCAACCCCCCCAGAGAGGCCTCCCCCAGGCACCCTCCCGCTGCCCAGCAGGCCCCTCTGCCAGCCTCCCTCGGCCTCTACAGCCACGGCCAGCAAGTGGGAGCAGCCATGGCCTGGGCACCGCACCCCACGTGCCCCTAAATCCAGCTCGCCTGCAGGCTGGTGGTGTGCCCTCCCAAAGCAGCTCCTTCTTCAGCCCTACTTCCTCCTCCTCGGTGCCCATGGTAGAGGCATGCCGGCACCAGGAAGGGCACCCCGAGCCTGGGGAGCGCTGCTCAGCCCCAGGAGAAAGCTGGTGGTGGGGGTCTCACCCCAGCAGGGAAAAGCTGCAATATCACACCTGGGTGACAGGCATCACCAGCCACGGTGGGAAGTCACCGGGGCGAGCCCTATGGCCACGCATGGGTCTCTTCTTAACCTCACCCCCACCTACCATACCATTTCAGAAGCTGAAAGCAAATTTCTCTCTCTGTTTTGGGGGGAGAAGAAAAAAAAAACCCAAAGCCACAGGCTGAGCACCCCAGGAGCCTGTCTGCGGCTACTGCTGGGGAAGAGGCCGTGCTCAGTGATGGGGGCTTGCCCCACGAGTGTTTTATTCTGCCCCCGAGCCTCTGCCCAGGTGCCCCGCCAGCGGGCTGGGGGCCGGGGTGCAGCAGCAGCCCCGGTTTAACCCCACTCCCCAGGAGCCTCCCCGAGGTGTTACTGCTTCCAGTTCCACATCCTCACTCTCAGAGCACACGTGGTACAAACCCCCGCGTAACCCGGCGGGCACCTTCCAGACCAGACACCCCAGCGATGGGCTTGGGGACGGGGAGC